CAGTTAATTAGGATGGACACAATAAATGCTGAGATAACAAAAATCTACAAATGTTTGAAATGTTAACAAAAATATTAACACTAAAATGTCATGAATAACCATTGTTAGAACTTTGTCAGATTAGTCACCACCTTTTAATTCTTGTGAAGGTCTCAGTTTCATGGTAACTCAATGTAACTCTTTCTTCTTTCATTCTGCAATTTTTACGTGGAATCTGTAAAATTAAGGCAGATTTTTTACCAACTTTTTCTTGTTTAATCGTGCAGATAGGGAGAAATTAAGGCTTATCTCTGGTTTTCAGGTTTGCAAGTGTTCTTCTCTTTGTGTTGCTTGAGAAATGTGATTTTGATCTGCCTATGTATATACATTTTCCATTCATATTGTTTATGGTTCTTCTTTATTCATTTTTCGTACGTTTTTTCTTTCATTTTTTTGTACATCTTCATTATGATGTTTGTGTTAGTTAGCATGCCTTGTCCTTTTGTCATGTGGTTTTCAATAGAATATGAATGTCTTTAGCTGCAGAGCCTCTGAGTTTATGCACAGACTCCATGGTGTTCATTCCATTACAATAACGACAGCCTCTGAGTTTGTGCCAAAGATGCATTTAAGCTGATTAACAACGGCTGGACTTTGCTATCGGACGAGACTCACAGATTGGCACATGACCTTTCCATGGGTGATGAGGTGGACGAAGGGCGCGCGTGGGGCCGTGGTGATATTTCCGAACAAGGGGGAGGTGTGGGCACTTTACAGGAACTGGGCGCCAGTTCGCGAGTACAAGGTGGTGTGGGTGGTGGAGGAGTATGAGAGAGGGGAGGTGAGTGTGGTGGTGCCGCTTGAGAAGGTGGGTGGGTATAGGACAGTGTTTAAGTCGAGGTCGGGTGGAGTGAGGAGGATTGTGAGGGAGGAGATGTTTCGTTTTTCGCACAGGGTGCCGCATTATGAGGTGGAGATGCTGGGAGGGTGCCTGGAGCTTGACCCGACAGTGTTGCTGTAACGCCCCACTTTTATTTGCCGAAATTCATAATAAATTTTTCAAAATTTATTTCAAAACACTTGAGGCGCTACTCATTTTCCACA